TACGTTGGACTTAGTCACCATAACGGTGGGCATCGTGAGAGTACGGATGAAGTTCTAGAAAGTGAGGAAGAGGGTAATGGTCGTGTCATTGTGGAGGAGATGGAGGAAGAGCATGTACGTTATTATTAACTAGCAGATAGGGGTGCTATCGTTACTGATCATTATCTACAGGAACAACACGACTTCAGCGAGGTGGTAATCCATCAGATCATTCACACCATCGAATTCTGTCTTGGCTGTATCTCGCATACTGCATCTTACCTTCGGCTATGGGCCCTGTCATTGGCACACGCTCAGCTATCCGAGGTGCTGTGGTCAATGACAATCGAGAAATTTTTGGGGATGTCCGGTATCTTCGGGACGATCACCCTCGCAATAGTGGTTGTTTTCTGGTTTTCAGCAACGGTGTTCATTCTGTGCATCATGGAGGTGCGTGTTACAAACATGCCCATCAGGCGTGGATCAGATATACTCATGCTTCCTGTTCCTCGTGACATCTTCATTCGAAACAGGGTCTCTCGGCATTTTTGCACGCGCTTCGTCTGCACTGGGTCGAAGCGAACAGTAAACATTATCAAGGAGAGGGATATGTATGTGGCGTTATCCCATCATTTCTATTTCAATGTGCGTGTAGTGCGCGTGCTGATACATTTTTCTGAATCACAGTTGTTCACGCCGTTGAGCTTTGCTAAGCTAGACGAGAAGGAGTGACCCCACATATTACCCCATATTCCTTTCTGGTGTCCTGTAGGCATGATACGGAGCAATAGGATGGTTAGATAATTCAAAGATGTGGGGTAAGGCAGTGAGAGTACGGTTCCGATTACGTACCGACCACTACGTTTGTGTGTAAGGTTCCAACTTCCCACCCCATTTTGAAAATCAGATTTTTATATGCTCTTGTAGAAACGATCCTTTCAATGAGTGATCAACGACAGGCTTAGGGTTTACATTGGTCACTCGAAGAAGTTGATTTCACCACTGTGGTGGTCGCCAAGTGACCGGCACCATCGATGCCCCACATCGCCCTTGCACAGCTCGGTGGCAGTGATGTAAGATCAGCGATCTTGCCGGTTAACCGCTTTTGTCGGCTGGCGCAAGGTGAGATAATTTAGATTATCTTGATTTTTCCAACTCCGCAAGAGCCTGTAGCCTTATATCGCAGGCACTGTTTCCAGATCGATTTTCTTCACTTGTCTCTCACTTCTTTTCTTGCTCTTCTTCATATCTCAATAGAGGTTCGTCCTCTTCCCCCTCTCTCCCAAAGTCTTCCGTGACTGACCTCTTTTCAGGCATTTAGCCACTCAGTAGACATAGAGCACGGTTTTGTAGCTTTTGTTTGCTTAATCCCAACTTCATCATCATAGAAGAAAACTTACTTTCAACGTCTCTACTAAAGGTACGCTTGTGCTCTCGCGATCTTGTCTTCTGTGCGCTCACGATCAGTTCAGATACTAGAAATGCCTGCTGCTACTGCTACCACTCCTGCTATTCCTTCTTCCGCCTCTCTCAAGGGCCCTGTTGACAGCCAAGTCGACGTGGCCGCCCTTTTTGTCGCTGACAAAGCTACCCGTGACGCAGCCGCAAAGGTTCTGGCTTCGGCCGTGCAAAACGATGGCCCTGCTGCCATTGCCGCTGCTGGTTTCGTTGAAGCCGCAGTCAAGGCTCTTGCCGACAAAAAATCCGCTGCTGCCCGTGAGGGTGCAGCTGATGCTGTAATCGCCCTTGCAAAAGCGGGCGCTACCAAGGCCCTTGAACCCACTTTCGTCGATTCTGGTCTCTATGCAGCTCTCATCGAGGGTTTTGCCGACAAAATGCCTGCCCCTCGTAATGCAGCCGTCGAGGCAGTTCGGGAGTTTGTAGCCTCCATGAACCCATGGGCTACCGGTCTTCTTCTTCCTGCACTTCTTCACGAAATTAAAACTGCAGGAAAATGGCAAGTGAAGACTGGCTCACTTATCGTCCTGAACCAGCTCGTTGTGTCTGCGCCCCTTCAAACCGCTCGCCTGATGCCTGACATCGTCCCTATTCTTGCTGAGGCTATCTGGGATACCAAAGCAGACGTGAAGAAGGCTGCACGCGATTCTCTTACCAAGGCTACTGCGTTGGTTTCGAACAAGGACATTGAACGCTTTATTCCAGCTCTCATTAAAGCTCTCATAAATCCTGTCGAGGAGGTGCCAAATACCGTTCAGCTCCTCTCGGCTACCACATTCGTTTCCGAAGTAGACTCTGCTACTCTTTCCTTGATGGTTCCCCTCCTGTCCCGTGGTCTCCTAGAGAAGCTCACTGCTACGAAGCGTAAGGTTGCAGTGTAAGTATTAACTTCTTCATTTGCCGGACATAGATCTCATCTCGCATGTAGCATCGTCGATAACATGGCCAAGCTTGTGGACTCTCCTGTCACTGTCCGTCCATTCTTGCCCAAGCTCCTCCCTGGCTTGATCAAGGTCGAGACTACCATTGGTGACCCTGAGGCTCGTGGCGTAGTTGGCAAAGCCATTGCCACTCTTCGCCAAGTCGGTGAAGTCCCCGCTGAAAGCGATGGTACCGACCTTCCTGCACTGAAAGTTGCTGAGGCATCGCAGCTTGCATCATCCCTCGCTGTCATCTACAAGAAAGCAGGCGCTGCCACTCTCTCCACCACTGACGCTTCTGCCGTCTATGTCTCACGCCTTGCTGCCAACCTTGTTAACGCCAAGAACTTCGATGTTCCTGAGTGGGACACACTCGCTTCTTACCTCGCTTTCCTCGCCCCCTCTCCTGACCCTGTTTCCATTGCAAGGGAATGGGTCGTTCGCTCTGCCAGCGAGGACACTGAGGATGATACAGTCCCTGACGATGAAGAGGAGGGTGAAGACCTGTGCAACTGCCAATTTTCCCTTGCCTACGGTGCAAAGATTCTCTTGAACACCGCTACCCTCCGCCTCAAGCGTGGCCACCGCTACGGTCTTTGCGGTAAGAACGGTACAGGGAAGTCAACCCTCATGCGTGCTATCACCAACGGACAGGTCGAGGGTTTCCCTTCCCCTGATGAGGTTCGCACCTTCTATGTCGAGCACGACATCGATGGCAGTGAGGCCGACACGTCGGTCCTTCAGTTTATCCTATCTGATTCACGCATTCTTGCTGGCGAGACTGAAGTTATCGAGACCCTCGCTTCCGTCGGCTTCAGCGATGAGCGTCAGAAGGACGCCATTGGCAGTTTGTCCGGTGGATGGAAGATGAAGCTTGCCCTCGCCAGGGCCATGCTTTTCAAGGCTGACATTCTCCTCCTTGATGAGCCTACCAACCACTTAGATGTTGTTAACGTGGCTTGGCTCGAGAACTACCTCGTCGGCCTGAAGACCTGTACCTCCATCATCGTCTCACACGACTCTAGCTTCCTCAACAACACAATCACTGACGTTCTCCACCTTAACCGCTTCAAGGTCAAGAGATACCGCGGTAACCTTGAGGCCTTCGTCAAGGTCGTCCCTGAGGCGAAGTCTTACTACACCCTTGAGGCTGCTGAGGACTACAAGTTCAAGCTCCCAGACCCACCTTTGCTCGAGGGTGTCAAGACCAAAGAGAAGAGTTTGCTCAAGATGCGCAAGGTCGGCTTCCAGTACCCCACGCAACCCGTCCAGCAACTTTACGACATCAATCTTCAAGTCTCTCTTTCGTCTCGCGTTGCTGTTCTTGGTCCCAACGGTTCGGGCAAGTCGACACTAGTTAAGCTCCTCATTGGCGACATGGAGGCCAACAAGGGTGGTGAAATCTGGAAGCATCCCAACTTGGTCATCGGTTACGTTGCTCAGCATGCCTTCCACCATATTGACCATCATCTCGACAAGACTCCTCTCGAATATATGCTTTGGCGTTACCAGACTGGTGAGGATTTGGAAGAGATGCAGAAGGCCAACCGTCAAATTACCGAAGCCGAGGCACAAAAGATGAAAGATGGTTCCCTCTATGTTCACGAGGACGGTTCGAAGAGGTTCATCGAAGAGATCGTCGCGCGCAAGAAATTGAAGCAGTCCTACGAGTATGAGGTTTCTTTCAAGAACATGAGCTCCTCGGAGAACATATGGATGCCTCGTGACGAACTCATCAAGCGTGGCTTCGAAAAGGTTTGTATTGTTCGCTCTAGCGATTGCTCAATGCTGACGATTCATCTCATTGCAGAAAGTTCTCGAGGTCGATACTCGTGAAGCCCAGCGTCTTGGTCTTTTGCGCCCTCTCGTCCGTCGGGAGATTGAGAAGCACTTTGCTGACTTCGGTCTCGAGCCCGAGTTTGTGTCGCATAACACCATGAGGGGTCTCTCTGGCGGTCAGAAAGTGAAAATTGTTCTCGGTGCTGCTACATGGCGCCGGCCTCATGTCATCTGCTTGGACGAGCCGACTAGTATGTTCGATTACTTTTTTTGCCTTCGTTTTACTTATGTCCTATATAGACTACCTTGATCGTGAGTCACTTGCTGCGCTCATCGAGGCCTTGAAAGTCTTCGAGGGTGGTGTACTCGTTATCACCCACAACAGGGACTTCTCTGAGTCCCTCTGCCACGAGGTGTGGGCCATGCGCGATGGCCACCTCGAGGCTTCCGGCCACAACTGGGTCGAGGGCCAGGGTTCAGGTCCCCGCATTGATAAGAAGGATGGCGAGGAGGAGGTTCAGTATGATGCCATGGGCAATAAGATCGATAACAAAAAAGTAAAGAAGCTGACATCAGCTGAACAACGCAAGGTCGGTTCACTTCCTTTACTTCTCCGAATTGTGCTCACCATCCATTTTTCCACAGCTCAAGAAGGAGCGCATGGCTCGTAAAAAACGAGGTGAAGAAGTCACCGACGATGAGCTTTAAGTTGCCTGCTGGTCATGGTATTGTTAATATGTTCTTGTGTGCACCTTGTCATGTATTCGCATTCATGCCATCTGTTATGTCGTTACCCTCGGGCTGTTGTTTATGTACCCTGTTCACTATTTTCATATAATGGATTCATGCATTTCTGTCTCATGTCTTGGTTTAAGCGCGTGCACGTGCACTTGTCATGTTACAAGAGCTGTGTGCACAGCTTGCAAGCTTGAACATTTGAACGTGCTTCTTGTTCGGTTCCGTTCTCTTTACGATTTAGTACGAAATGCCCTACCTTGATGAGCAAACCTTCAATTTGTACGCTAGAGACGTCGGCACACAACTCACTCCGAATACTACTCAGAAGACGACTTTAATCGTTGCTGGCTGCTATGTTATACTTATTGCTATTCTCTGGTGAGCATCTACTACCCCATGCAATGACCATTGGCCACTGTTGAGCCTTTTGTTCGCAGGCATGTCCCAGTATTGAGTTGGATTAGTGCGTACCTCTTCATACCATACCCTCTTGCAGCGCCCTGATGTGCTCTGGATCTACTACGCAGTATACCCTTTCAAGTACGTTCCTCTCAAAGATCCGAAAGGTCGCTAATAGGTTGATATCATTATTGTAGATTGCTTACTGTGGGCTTCCATGAGGTAAGCTCACCTCACCGCTGCTCAAGATACGAGGCCTTTAGATTAAGTTATTTTCCTAGATGAGCCATGCAATTGCTGGTATCTTGACTTGTGCTACTATCCATTCCGTCGAGCTCGATCGTTGGTTCAATGTCTTTTATCTCGCCATCGAGCCTCTGCTTACTCCGTTACCATTCGGACAGCTGACGAAGGCGGCGAGACCCGCATGTCGGGCGGTGTACCATGGATCACCCTTCCTGCCGGATACCTTGGGTCCTCACTCATTGGCGCTTCTCTTATTGCATGTGGATTTGATACCAATGCGAGCAAAATAGCTTGTATTGTTCTTGGTGTATTTTTCATCTTCACGTTATGGTGGGCGCGCAAGAATTGGCTGTGAGTGCACTGCGGAGCTGCGGAAGGACAGGCACTGAACGGATCATGCAGGACATGGATACTCATTCTTGGAATGTCTGGCTTGATCGTGTTATTCTGGCTAGTGGCGGACAGCGTTGCGTTGCGCTTCTTTGTGAGTTTTGTTCTAGATGTTTCTCGTGTTTCTAGCTAAACCCTTCGATAAGGTCTTGTTTGTTGGCGTGATGTCGGATTTGTATGTGCTGTGGGACGTGATAGGCAGGTTTACCCTCAAGGCTTGCACGCGTCAGACTAATAAGTTCCTTCAGACGATACCATCGCGCGGAAAGTCAACAGCTCCGATGCATCCGCGTTCGCTCGGGTTTGTGGCTGTTTCCCATCTCAAGGTAAAACCCTCTACCTTTGATGAACCTTCGTTAATACTTTATCAGTGTGGGGCGTCATTTGGCTTATCGTAGCCTTCATGTTCTTTGCCGCTGGCATCATAGTGGGGCTAGTTGCGTTCAAGGTTCTTATCTCCTCTTCCCTCGGTAGGATAGCGCTGATAGACGAGATATTTCAGGAGTCTTCGTCGGAACAGGAATCGGCAGCCGCACACTTCCTTCCTGCTCCAGGATCGAGCGGTGCCATGACATCTGTACCATTACCGGGTGTCCTCTTAATGATTGTTACGACCCTCTCATGGAAGTTGTTGTTGTGACTTTGAAAATCAGAACCAGTGATTGGGCTTATTGATACCAGATATGACAATCCTGTAGCTTTTACTGTTGGTTCTAGATGCAGAATGATGCTTTGTATACTTGACTTGTTGATACTGTTTTGATCCGACCTTTTTTGATCCCAGCACTATTTTGATAACTCCTGCACTGCGTGCCACACTGTTACAGTCCTCGCTGGTACGTCGATGCAGAGATCTTGTTATTGATATTCACGTCACCGAACGAACGGTTGACTTCGGAACACGGACTACAGGCTACATACTGCTTGACCCGGTGAACCCTATTTACAGTAGCCTAGTGCCGAGATCTTAGCGGTGGTGTCCATGTCAATATTAATGTCGCCGCCGGTCTAGACCGAACCCTAAGCGAAAAAGGAATTTATTTCATGCACATGCGAAAACACAGTGTGCCTGGACACTTTGTCCCTACTTTTTGTAGAGTCGGGGATGTCCAACAGTACCAAACCTCGTGTCGACGATGAGGACGACGTCGATGATCTCGACGGTCAGAAGCCAACCATTCATTATCTAGATGCGCTTATAAAGGCTAAGCAGATGTCCTGGATCAGTTTACTCCGTCCAAAGCCCCTGCATCCAGTTTATCCCAACCGTTGTCGACGTCATCGCCTGCTGTGAATGAACCAACCTCATCGAAACAAGAGCCGTCTTCTTCAAATGCCGACTTTGAAGCTGATTTTGCGAAATCGCTTGCTGAAGACATGGAGGCTCTTTGGCGCGATCTTGCACAGCAGGGACTCATGTCGACAGAAGGGATCGATGGCTCGACCGACCCATCGCTCACACAGGGAGCACCTATTACCCAGAAAACTGACGAAAAGGACGACTTCCAATCACGCATCCGGAACACTATGAACAAGCTCAAGGAGAGCGAGTCAGGCTTGAAGTCATCGGATCCGAGCAGTTCTGCTCCTAGTGCTGATCCACTCGAGGCGCTTTTATCTCAATTGGGTGACGAGGATGAAGAAGGGATGCAGGGTGTCCTAGAAGCCATGATGGGCCAGCTTATGGGCAAGGACGTCCTATACGAGCCCTTGAAAGAGCTTTCGGACAAGGTAGGCCTGTTCTTGACATAGCGAAGCCTCTCATTTTTTCCCTTTGTCATATCTGCAGTTCCCGGACTACCTCAAGGCCAATGCAACTACCTTGACGTCCGATGATAAGTCACGCTACGATGCGCAGATTATCTGCATAAGGCAACTCCTGGAAATTTTTGAATCGAAAGATTACGCTGACGACGACGAGAAGACGAGAATTAAAATCGTCGAGCTCATGGGTGAGGTGCGTTAACTCCAAGTCTACTTTCTTCGATATGGCATTGAAATCGCCTGCATAATCACAGCTTCAAAACCACGGGTCTCCCCCGGAGGAAATCATGGGCCCATTACCCCCCGGATTGAACATGGGCGCTGATGGTATGCCGGATATGCCGGATAACTGTATTATCAGTTGAATGCATATCGGCGGAGGGACTGAATAACTTTAAGCGAATACCTGAGCTTGCCGTTGTCCACAACGAGCACGAACTTCATGATAGTACATAACATTTGCGACAAATTTACAAGCATATGCCCGGGGTATACTGAAAATAGTTGCACCGAGAACAAACATCGATCGGACTTGCGCACTGCCGTGGCATTGTAGCTCCCAGACGTCAGACCCTTGCCCCTGAATGAGCACAGTGACTATGTTTCCGTGTTGTCTTCAAGCGCTGTACCTTGGTTGACTGAACTTTGTATTGATTGTGAGGTTGAATTGATATTTGATAATGGCTCATTTGACATGGGACTCGGACCTCGGTAAACATGACCAATGTGAATCTCACTATACATCTTCAAGTTCTGCTACAAATTCGTATTCTGTTCCTACTCCGCATTGAACGGCGGAAGCACCTGCTTCCTCTTGACGGGCCAAACCTCCTCCATGGTCTCCGCATCCCATATCCGTCCGCCGCGGACAACATACCGAATATTCCGCGTCTGACGGATATTATCCTGCAACAGGTCAAAGCCAGGCGGGAAGATGACGAGGTCTGCAAGTTTACCCCCCGAGATGGACCCGAGGCTGTCAAAGAGACCAAAAGTGATTGCGGCATCAGCCGTTGCTGCGCGAATCACCTGCGATGAGGTCAGGCCAGATCAGACTCAACAAACAACTGTGATATATATAAAACGAACCTCATAGTTGCTCAGCCCACCCGCTTTGGCGTAGAACATCTCCTGGTGGTACATCAGTCCAAGAGGCGGCTCGCCATGTGCCCCGATATGAGCACGCAGCCCTCTATGTACCATATTCGCAACGGATGCAGAAACATTCCATAGTGCCATCGCTGGAACGAGAAAGTCAACCGACTTGTCACTAGGCATGAATCCATAGGAAGCATACAATTGAACGGCCGGCTTGTGCTCTCTGAGACCCCTTCGAGGATGTCGTGTCGTGTGTGTGTGCGAAGTCTGATCATGAGTTACTTGAATGCACATAGTGAAAGGCTGAAGTAGAGACATACTTCGGGTCATTCGGAATATCCTCTGTTGCCCAAAGATATTGCTCTCCGAACATGCCTCCATAATCGACGATATGAGTTGGAGTAGATCCAGTCCCGCTCATCGTATAGAGCGTGAGGATATCATCGTACAACACGGACACAGGGATATTATGCTCGATCGTCGTCATCCCTAGTCTAATCAACAACCACCCAAGGCCTAGAGCTGAGCACTTACCATCTATAATATACGTCAAATCCCAATCATAGTTCATTCCCTGCGACCGCAATCAGCGGGCTACTCAACTGAATGAGGAAACAGAGGTACACTTACACCTTCGGGCACACACAGCATTCTCACCGAACGTGCAGCTGTTAATAACCGTTGTCTTGCAGCCCTCGTCGGCAAATTGTAGTTCTTATAGCTCCAGCTCGCATCTCCACCCTCAGCCTTGATCCTGATAAGTGCTTCACGCGCCTCGCGCATGCTTGCGATGTCCTGATGGATACTGTATTCAGATGCACCATAGATGACATTGCCGGTATGGAAGAGCCGCGGACCAGCCATAAGTCCGGACTCAATGCGTCCGCGCTCGACGTAGCCGAGGGAGTTATGTAGACTTGGGCTGTAGGTTCGGGAATGAAATGGTCAATGAATGTGTGGAGAGAAAATCACGCACTTGTGTAGTGTGGTCACGCCGTACGCCAGGAAAGTCTGCATTTCCCATGACGTTGCTGGGTATTTGTCTTCTGTGCCACTCCAGTGTGCGTGCGAGTCGATGAAACCTGGAACGACGTACCCTACGCGTCACGTAACATGAGCCTTTTTCCACAGATCATAAATGAAACCACCGACCGCCCTCAGCATTGATTTCAAATGCCCCCGGCAGTCCCTCACCAACACCAGGACCGCCAACTGCTTCCACAACTCCACTCCGAATTACGACGCTCGCGTCTGACCTAAAATCCTGCGCGAGCACACCATTCTCCATACTCAAGACAGTCGCGTTGTGAATGATGACCACATCAGCGTTGTTCTCCACCGCAATTGATTTCTGTAGGCCATCCGCTATTGACTTGCGTGCCTCCCTGGACAACCGCTGCACATCAGGGGTATAAGTAACATCCACTGCTGTGACATGCAGCAAGCCTCGGACACAGTCGATTCCGAAGTTATATGGGTCAGCCTCGATTGCGCCCGTGCATGCGGGTAGGCGGGAAAGCTGGAGAGTATGGAGGTATGGACCTAATTCGTGTTAGGTCACAAGTGGAACACGAAAAAATTAGGAGAGAAACGAACGCACCAAGGAACCATCCAATCACACTGCCGTCACCACTAAACACGACATCATGTCCACCGTCTCCACTCAGACGCGCCAAGTTTTTCGGTGCCTTCCCAGGCTTGGCCCACATCGCCTTCTCAGGGTCCACTGAGGAAGGGGATGCATAATATACGTGAAAGAGGCTGACAAACGCCGCACCCCCTGCTGTTTGGCTGCGTCCAGCTAGTATTGAAGATATCGAAGGCACGGATCCAGATGGTGAAAAAACGACCTCGTCAGTTCCCTTCCCCTGAGCAACCACCTCCTCCGCACCGTCGCGCAATGAGACCCGAAGTACACTGTCAGATTGCTGAACGAGGACTTCACTAGACTTGCCATCCACGAACGATAGCTTGACGACATCAGAAGGGTCGATACTACTTTGGACGTAGCGCAAGTTGGTCAGTTCGACCGTGCCTTGGGAGCATGAATGGGACGGAAGCGTGATCTCTCCAACCCAGACTCCAGTTTGCGCAGTAGCCACCACGTCACCAGTCAACACATCTCCACCCGTCTTCACTAGCACAACTGTCCGCGCGCCGTTTGCCGCAGATCTGCTTACGACAGCACCAAACCACCGCCCCTTAGGAAGTCCAGCGACCTCCCATACTTGCCTACTTTCCAGATCTGCCAGCTCAAGGGATGAGAAATGTGTATTATCCCAGCGTGCGTGCAAAATGAATGAAGATGCAGGAACGAAGGAAGGTGAGTAGTATCCTGCAGAGGAGTGTAGGTGCGGAATGCGCTGGGCAGGCTTCGAAGTCTCAACGAAGTTGGCATCATCGATGGGGTCCAAGGTAGTCGGATTGATGAGGGAGTCTCCAAGCACCTGCACCCATGTCTGGCCTGCGCCTGCAAATACTGCATGCTCGCCAGATTCGTCCAGCGCGAGCTGGGTGAAGGCACGCACGCGCTGCGGGCCTGATTCGAACTTGCGTACATCAGTCTTCATACGCCGAGTTTCCGCGAGCTTCTTCGAGATCTGCGCTGTGAACGGGATCACCTTTGGCGTAAGGTTTATGTTGTTAGTGGCTGTGGCCGCAGCGACAAGTTCCCCCTCTGAGTTATACGCCAATGGGACATGCCAGATCTGCCCAGCAGCCCAGATGATGATACCCGGCGAGGACGAAGAGGGCGTGAATGCAAAGGACGGGTATGTACCCATCGGCGCGTAGATTGTGGAGAGGTCGTAGGTGAGCCCATGCCAGATATGATGCAGAGTGCCCGTATTAAGATCCCTGTCGAAGGAATGTCAGTTATAGTACACGTATACAATGATATCGATGCAAGAACTATGGTGATTAAGAACACTGGAGAGATTACACAAACTCTGAAGGAACATCATAAGTAAATCACCACTCACTTGAGTACGAGTGCTTCCTTATCCCTCACACGGCGCACGAATGCAAGTGTGCGTCCATCACGCGAGAGTATAGGCCGGCTTGCACCACCAGGGAAGGCGTCAACGAGCGTCTTTTCCACACCCGTCGTCAAGTTGCGCTGGAAGATCGCGTAGATACCCCGATGGACATCTGCATGTATATGAGAAACAAGTACATAGCGCGTTGATGAAACAGCGAATGCTAACGCACCTTTGGAATACGAGTAACTGCCACCTACATCCCTCACATTACCAGCATAAATCAGCGCATCATCGCCCGCCCATATGAACTGTTCGTGTCCGATCTGTTGCTCCACGTAGTCCTCCTTTGTCCACCCCACAGGTAGTTTCTTTGATACCAAACGCTTTCCGGCGCCTGCCTCGACCTGTGACCGGGCGTGGACAGTGGAAACAGGGAACTCCCATCCTTCGCCAGCTCCAAGAGAGCGTGAAGAGTAGTACCATTTTGTTGCGACGACCTTATCCCCTGAAGGATGCCAGCGCGGGTCAGACACCCAGTTGTACGTCTCGTTCGTGATGCGCTGCGCTATACTTCCATGAGCATCTCGCCTTGACAGAGAAGTAATTGATATTACTCACCATTTACCCTTCCCTCCCTTATCAATCTCCTTAGTTTCCTCTCACCCGTCTCCTTTATACCTCGTGCGAGTTGCTCCTCTTCATGGATCTTTAGCTCGAGGTCATGCGGTGAGCTGACATGCGCACGCACGTCCATGGCCGTGCACCCGTCCGGCGCCCAGGGCATTACCCACAGATTGTCAGCGCCGAGCCCCGCGTCGCTTTTGAATGCAAGCCTATCACCTGTAGGTGAAAACCGCGGATCCGCATCGTGTGGGACACCAGTGAGGACTGGTACCGCTTCTGTTCTCCCTCCTACTCTTCCAGCAGCTCCTAAATACGCGTCACCCGGTAGGCAATATACGTCCCCTGCCATGTCAAATACGATATCCCCACTCACGGGGTGCACGTCGAGTCGCAACCATGTACCTTCTGTTACCTCATAGGACAGTGTGCGAGGGTAGGGGAAGTCCACAGATATGTCCCAGGGTTCATGTGCACGCAGAGGGAAATCGTTGTCTGCAAACTCGGATGCGGGGTCATCCAACAAGGCCCTAGACTCGTACTCGGTAAAGAGAAGTTGGTGGATGGGGAGGGCAAAGTGATTAACCCATGTTGCAAGGCAGAGACATATAACTACTTTCAGAACTGCTAGTTGTAGCCGATGATTTCTCGTTCGGCGAGTCGTATAGTACGTCGGAACCCCTTTTGTGGTTGTTAGAGAAGGTTTCTCCGAGTTTGAATCGCCGAACTCGAGAACCATTTTCACCTACTCAGAACCAGTGTCTGAGTGAGCTAACGAGCTTGGAACGGGATTAGTGGGAATTATATATGGGCGCTTATAATGATGAGGCACTTCCGGAATAACGTCAACCTGTGCACGCGGAGTACCGTATACACACAAACTTGAACTGACATGAGAAAAAAAGTCATTCGCGAATTCAATTCAGTCATGTTCATGTATGGTAGTAACGTAGATAGACTGAACCTCTGATGAACCAAAAAGAAATCAGGGACTAGGACTTTGTTAACGCACGAATAAAAATACAACTTATGAAGCCGCCTCTTCTTCTGTTGCCTCGGCAGGAGGAGCAGGTTCCTCTTGGACTACAGGCTCGTCCACCCCCTCGGATTCTTTCTCTTCAACCGTCTCTTCAGCTTTCTCTTCGGGTTTCTCTCCCACCTTTTCTCCTGATTTCTCACCCTCCTCACCTTCCTCACCCTCCTCCTTGGCACCTTTGCTGCCAATGACAGTGGCGTTGATTCTGGCGAGTGAGAGATTACCCAGGGATCTGCCAAGACTCGCCGGTAGAACTCACGTTAACATCACATGCACTGCTTCTCCCTCCTCCTCTCCCTCCAACTTGGGCAAATTCACAGTCAGCCGCTTGCTCCCCTTCCATCCAAAGCTCCCAGTAGAAAAGCCCGACGAAACGAGCTCTATAGCCTCCAAGAACCCAGGATCCGTCGACTCGACATCAGTAGGAGGCCTAGTGTGTGAAATGTTAACATGCAAGGGTTGCGCCCGCGACTTGAACGCAGTGGCACTCAGCCCCGTCTACTCATGCTACACATTCAGAATTAGGGGCTGAGGGATGCGGGGGCACAGACCTTCAATCGAGCTGCGCCCTTCTTCCCGGTGCCCTTAGCGCTCTTTCGAGCCTCTGTTCTGGGCACCTTGGCACTGCGCGTCTCGCGCTTCTCTGTGGCGGACTCTTCTGCAGCTCGTTTTCTTCCTGCGGGCACATTATATAGGAGCTGTTGGATGCATGAATTAAAGAAGTTAAACTCACCAGCCATAGTAATAGAACGGGAGATGATGTGAAATGGGTGTTAGAAGTCAAGAACGATGCGCTTGAAATTGTGGATCCCGAATCGTCGCGTCTGTTTATATCGTTGTCAACCGTCAATAAATACCACAGGTGGGCGCAAGGTGGACGTGTGACGTCACGCGCCTCGTCACGTCCCTTTGATGCGCTTTGACCAGGTGCCACAGCTCATAAACGTCTTGCAACGTCGACACTTTGTTGACACAGAGAGCATGCTGTACAGAGCACTGAGAGCACTGAGATCTGAGACACTGCACCACACAAGAAATGCATTGATCAAACGAACAATAGGATACAACTACATAGGTTGAAACTACTCATCGGCGAACAACAGGATAACTCCACTCGCATATAGTAGTTCATACGCTCTAAGAACCGTTTACCTGAAATAAATATTGTCAGGAAATTCCATGAAATGTGCGGAGGAGCGAACCTTTAGACCAAGTACTGGCGTGTAACAATTGAACTGTGACCGAACGCAGAAACTCGCGCAATACCGGTTTCGCTGTTCTCCCCTGACTTCCCTGCCCCTGCCCCCGCCCCGCCCGACGTGCTATCAGTGGACGGGGCTCCGAAGAGCCAACCATAACGTCAGATATCATCATCATCGCTGTAGAACTCGTCTTCATCTTCATCAAGGGCCGCTAGGTTTGTCAGGTCGACCTTGTAACGAAGCAAGCCGCCTATTCCACCGAAGCCCTTTACGAATTGTGCGCCCTCCTGCGACCGATTGGTCACAAACTCAAGGTTTGCTCCAAACTCCTTGTACTTCTCGGCAAACCATTCAAGGAGAGGCTGTGGATCCGTAGCATGTTCCATTTCTAGACCAGTGGATTTATCCAAAAATCTCTCGCGATCTTTCTCCTGTTCTTTGTTTGCGTGGATGATAATTTCCTCTGACATTATTCCATGAGTCATCCAGGATCTGTAATGACGACAGGTGTCTTACCTCCTGCAGCATTGCGGAATACATAACGTGTGATATCCAGGTTCTCCCACACAATCAGAGTCTCGACCGCGCCTAGATCAAGCGCTTTCAACGTGTCATCGATACCAAAACAGTACTTGTTCGTGTCTTGGCTGATTTCGTCGAAGTATTTCTGGATGAGCCTCTTCTCCTGCACGAACTTCACATTTGCCAGCGCATCTGCTGCAAGTTCGATAGCCTACGTCTCAATCTTAGTCATAATATAAAAGTACCAAAACGCTTGAACCGACCTGATTGAAACCATTCTCACCGCCGTAACTCACATCCACAACCTTGATCACCTTTGCGCCCAAGCGTGGGTCAAACATGTCGCTTTGACTGAGTTCTGTCTTGAAGTCGGCGCTTCCCGCCAGAACGAGTCCAGTTACATTGACTTTGTCGTTTGTAATGAAGTGCTGGACAGCATGCTCGGCGACTTTTCGAACGTAGTTGTGGCGCTTTTCGTCACGCAGACGGGAGAAACGTAGTGCAGACTGACCACCACGGCCATGCTTCTTAGGAAGATCGACGGTGAATTTATGTACGATATCACGAGTGTTGCCTGAGAGGGTACCGAAGAGGGTTCCATTACCATCCATGACGATGAAACCAAAGCGAGAGTCGGACTCGAGAAGCTCGGATAGGGCCTCAGTGTGGAATTTGTTATCACAGAGGTAAAGCGACCTGTTTCATGCATAAGATCAGGGTCATGCATCCGATGAGATACTTACGTATTGATCGGTTTGTGAGGTTCAAAGTCAAACGACACCTTCTTCTCCTTACCTTCGTCGGTGAGGATGGTGCCCACGAAAAGTACGAGACCGTTTGGCGGGACTCGGTTGTACAGCTTAAGGCGCTGCTGGGTACTGGTGATAGCTGCAAGAACAGACAATCTGTTCACCCGCGACTTGATGTTACTCGCGGTACCGTATTCCTGCGTCAACATGGCTGAGGCACGAGAAATTTGATCCTGTAACAGGTAGACTGAAATGAGCAGGATGGCAAAAGGGGGTAAGATCGGCGCACTTTGGGAGGAATGATCAAGCTGATCATGGATGTCCCCGCTCTGTAAAGCACGCGATCAGCTTCCATCGCTGTTGGTTTTATAAAAACATGAAGATATACCCGCGTGCAGAGTCCAAGCTCTTGATGAGTTTCTTTACTTTCCACATCTGAATGTTTTGCTCTGCGACATCTTGACTCATGATGGGCAGATCTTTCTTCTGAACGTTTTGATTTTCTGTTGATGAAAATGTGAGTGGGACGCCTTGGATGTCCCGTACGTTCAAATTGACGCTTATGTATGGAGGACAAACTTTTTTACCGGGCGGTGGCGGATTTAGGGTAGGCTGCCTCAAGGCTGCTTTCCAATACAATGACTTCGCCGAGTACTTGCACTTCCAGTACTCTGACTCAATTCATTCACCAACTGAGTCTTTATGACGTTTACTGGCGCTATCTAGTCATATAATTCTGCAACTGATCTGGTCGGAAGCGAACCGCCATCTCAAAGGTTTCGTCTCACCGCATCATGAGCAACTCAGCTGGAAAGCGCAAGTCAATTGTCCCTCCTACCAATGATCAGAAAAGAGTCAAGTTACAAAGCGGAGCCGTTGCCGAGGCCAATCCGAAAAAGAACAAAAAGGACAAGGAGACTAATAGTGGACAATCGGAGCCATCGACGACCAAGAACCCTACAGCAACATCGCCATCAGCAGCTCCCAAAAACCGTCCCAGAATTCGGAAACTCGCGCCGCCACGGCCATTCCCAACAGTTGCACCGTCCGCACCTGCCACAGCACCGCGTTCCTTGCATACCGAAGGCAAGAATAACATCTGTATCACGCGGCGTACCAAGCTAGCCGCTTACCTGCGCCGATGCAAGGCTCTGATCCTCGAAGATGGGTTTAAAGAGATTCGATTGAGCGCAATGGGTGCTGCTATCCCGCATCTTGCGCTTTTGGCTGTCTCTCTGCCTCAAATAGTGCCGGGCGAATTGAACGTTGAAGTGCAGACGGGTAGCGTGGACGTTATCGACCAGATGCTTGAAGGAAGCGAGGATGAAGATAGTGGTGACAATGACGAGGAATTTAAAACAAGGGTCAAGTCGACATTGAACGTCGTTATTCGCGTAGGAGGCTCGGGGGACCCCAAGGTGATAAGCAATCCCGCGAAAGGACCAGCGACAGATTCTAGTCAAAGCGATGGAAATATTCAGCAACCGGAGCAGATTGTTCTTCAGGAGCCTGAACAAGAAGACATGGACCAGTCGTAGCAGAAATCACAGTAGGAAGCTATTACCCCATTGTGCTGGTCACTGCTCATGAGTGTCATAGCTTGTAGTCCAACTTTTCACATCTGTCTGAAGACACACGGGTGTTACCCGGCTGGATCTTACCATGTAACGCGCACCTTCGGAACAAACCGTCCCAGATGTGTTGGGATCTAGGGATGGAATACGTTAACGTAACTCACGGAGCAACACGCCGTTTTGCGATATTACCCCCCGCCATATGTATTCATCACTGTAATGTTAACAGCGCTCATACACCGGTGAGCTCGCGTGATATGTACTGGAACTTTCATTTTCTATTGTCTCACACTTCAATAAACCTAATGCACATGGTTGCATTTCCGTCTTACTCTGGTAACGTATTGCTATCGACTTCTCACTGGTCCTAATGAACGTGAAATCGATACATCGGTCACTCTATACCACCGGTTCTAATCACCAATTTGACCTAGAGAAGTTACTGCAGATGCATTGCAACTTGCGGCACGGGACTTCTGAACTGGAACTACTGAACCCTCGCTGTGCGTGCCCCTATCCTAACCCTATTTATCAATTGATCTCCAGGATCAGTAAATGAATGTATAGCGCATAACCTCACTACACCCCCAATCCGTTTTTAGAGCCTTCAGTTGGCCTATAATACCCGCCAGCAGGAGCTAAAGTTACACAAGTAACACGTGTATCTCTCTTATAGACGCTATACCCTGACGGAAATCAACGAGGCCTCAACCGATTTGAACGAAAAAATGCTAAAATTTCTACCGGCGGCCATACATGATAGCGGATGACCGCTGCTTCGGTGAGAAATATCTTTATGTGTTTGATGACGGGTCGCTTGTCGTTCTTTTCGCAGCATAAGGGTCGTTCAGAAGTCATCATCAGACAATACAAAGAGTCATTTATGACATCATTGCCACAAGGACTGCTACTTTCTACTCACCGGGATTATCCAGGCCTGGCCCTTGCTGGACGCGAATGACAGCATGATTGTCAAGCATTCGATACACTAAGATCCGGTGGCCAACTACTCGGACAAAAAAAAGGGTTCACCGACGCTAACGGGGACTTTATGATGCGGGTTGGTGCATTTTGATTTACATTACATGAGCAGAGTGATGACCACTTCGTCTCGCAAGCCCGAAGCTACTAGTAAAGGAAGGTATGGTAGGGGAACGTTAACTTCTGATAAATTTGATGGCCTTCGTGAAATGAGGCAACTGCCGGTATAACGCTGTGCTAACCAACAATGATCATGAGGGGGAAGTTAGGAAAATGGAGACTACCCTATCCTGTCGAGCTTCCCTACACCTCGCGCCCCACTAGCCGCGACTTCGCGCTTACAATGCCCAAAAATAACCATACATCCTGATATATAAATAGGCCACAGCGTAGGTCATCATGATGCACTAAGGGTTTTATAGGGTCAATTCAGATTGTTTCAAGTAAAGTTTAAGTTGTGACGTCGTGTCGTTCGAAGCCTCCTCAAATGAGCTTCCTGGGAGGTAGTTAGATCGCTGCAGAGCACATCAGAGCGAGAACTTGGTTCAGATCACATACAGTATCGCAGTGTCTGGGGGTTTCTTGACCTAAACTAGTCGTCCTGTCGACAGCCTTCTCGACCCATCGCGCCACAGCCTACACTAGGTATCGGAATTGCGTTATATACAGATAGATGTGCGACTGCGACGGTTGAATCGGGGAAAAGTTCTCCACTAAACTCACAACATGATGGATATTTCACCGGTGAACGAGATAGCCAGCCAGTGGGCGGTAATGAAGAACACGCCACGATGGGTGCCGTACGATTCAACTTGTCGAATGGGAACCGTATACTTGGTACTAGGGGTTATAGGTAACGTTTGTACGTAATACTTTTCTGTTTTTTCTTTTTTTTTGATTGATTGATTGAACGTCGTGGCCCGAGACCACTGGTTTCTGGTAACTGACCAAGTCAGCCCCGGTCGGTGTGTTGTGAATTACATCCAGCGATACAGGCATTTCAACAGGGGGGGAATACATTTACGCAGACCCATGTCGAGGTACCAGTTGACACGCAATACCCTGCGACCCTATGAGGTCGGCAACTGCCAGAGCACCTTCCCCCAAAGTGGAAATTCAGAGAACAAATTGAACTCAAGAAAAAAATTTCATCTCTTCCCGATGACGGTTGCTATTGGCGAGCATTGCAAATACATATACACGCATGGTAGGTGGACGGAAAAAATGCTTTCGCTGCTTTTTCAGAGTCAAATTTTGATCACGGTGAGTTCAGCCCAGTGAGTGCTCATGGTGACTCCAAGTGACAAGATGTGGACACTTGAGTTGGGCCCGCCTTTATTTATCTGCGCAGAAAGTTCCTGCTGTGCGGACGGCCATGCTAGCGCAAGTGAGAAGCACTGGAAGTGTGTCATATACCTGAAAAGATCGTTGTGAAAATAATGTTGAGCCATTGAATAGATGAACAAGCTTCCTAATGGTACAGAATATTCAAGAAAGCTAAAATCACGAAGAAAACAAAAGAGGGTGTAGCATACGCAACGCAGATTCGTGTCACCGATCAATCTCCAACTATCGCAGCGCCTCAAGTCTCTCAGTGAATGAAGAGCTCAGCCCCATGCTAACCCCCAGCCACGATCTCTCCATCTCGCTGTTTGCAACACGTGGAATTCCATGTGCCTCCCGATCAGACAGGCAGTCGTACGAGTGTGATGGCGAGAGCGAAGACGATGAAGTGGGGGACCATACATTGCCAAACTCTTCGGCAAGCTCCGACGCTGTCCGAAGGATAATATTCGGCGGTAGAGCCCATGATTGGGTAGGAGATGCAACCTGCGCAAATGATGACGAAAAGTCCAGCGTTGGCAGGACGAAGTTCTCATGTATGTCGGGAGAGGGCGATAACCCGAGTCCGTAGTCCCAATCATCCGAATCAAGTTCAATGTCTGGACTGACATCAGCATCGTTGTCGCAGTCCAGTTCTGACAAGGATGCTAGATCGAGCTCGATACTGGAAGCAACCGACTGGGGACTTGATAAAACTTCTTCCTCATCGATGGTACTCATCTGCGAGGAAGTAGACATGGCATCTGAGTAAACTTCTTCGAGAGCACACCATCCTTGTCCGCTATCTCCGGTGACGCTGCGCACTTGAGCAGCTGTCCAACCTGCAAATGTGACTCGCAGTATCGTGCACTGTTTATCGCTTGGATTATTTCCAGGATCGGAACCAAAGGCGTAGGCATCAACGCCGACGCCAGGGTCATCCCACACGTTCGCAGCATCCAATCGGGAAAAAAGAGTGGACACGCGAAGTGAATGGTTACGATGCGTCCTATGCGCAGCAGCAATTTCAGGTACAGGAAGAAGCGGATGGAATGAGCTAATTCCCACGGTAGAATGTGCAGATAGGGGCAGACGAGAGGTGGGAGTAGGAGCGATAGGAACGAGCAGGTAAGTCGTTACTTCCGGCAAAGCAGGTTGTGGCATGTAATGGTCAAGTTCAGAGATGTCTATTTCGGCGGGGACTTCAGCAACAATGAGCTTTTGCTTTGGCTTGAGCATCTCCTTAGTCTTTGGGGGTGCCACATTTTCCTTAGCTTTGCGGAATTTGCGCTCCTCCTTCTTCTTCGCCTTGAGTTCCCATTCAGCCTCCCAAAGGGCACGGGTAGTGATAGGAACGTTATCCACGAGATTCTGGAATATGGGGCGCGCAGAATGGAATGAACGAGCAGTGCCAAGACCAACATTAGCTACGTTCCCGGGGATGGGAGTCGGACGAGGAAGGCGTGGTAAAGATAAGGGGCGATAAAGGGCATTTCTCACAGGGAGCGAGTACGATGCTTTAACGCTCTGAGCACTGGAATGGAAATGAGCAGGACGGACAAGCGAGTGACTCGGAGCGACTGCAACTGAATGCGCAAGTCCTGGAGTAGTTAAATGAGCAAAGAATCTGGAGACGAGGTTACGAGAGTTTGTGAAAATTCGTTGAGCAGTGGACGGATGGGGCGTTCGGAGTGGTGGAATGAACGCAGAGCTGTGAAGTGACCGAGCAGAACCAGTCACAGGGGCATGGTGTTTGGTTCCGCCGATACCTTGCCTCAGGTGACGAGTGCCGTGCGAGACGGCAGACATGGTGAAGCGCACTGATCGGTTAGTGGTGTTTAGAGCTAGTCAATGTCAACGTTGCAAGTGAAGCCTTTCCTAGTGTGAAGCAGTGCTTGCTGTTATAAATTAATTCAAGTGCCGGACGAACACGCGTTTGCTGAGTAAGTAACTCGGGAGTCGGCATCGCTTACGGTAATGATCGATCACGTGGTCGTTATCTTCTTGACGCGACCATGATGAACGCACAACAGCCTACCGTACCTTCGGCCTTACTTCCCGAGATTCTCGAGTTTTCACCTCAACTCCTCCTCGATGACATTATCAACTACGCAAATGAAGCAATAACAAACACCGTTGATGCCTTAGAGGGCTTCCTGTTTCGCTGGGCGTCTGAGCGAGAACAAAGAGTGAAAGAGGATTGGGATAGCACGCAAGAAGTGGAACAGGGCCTTGTCGCTTTCCAAACACTTCTGGAATCCCACACGGACATTGCCTTTGACTTTTTCGAGACATGGTCACTTCGCAACATATTCGCCATTCCTGCCGATCTTCCCGTCGTCGTCCCTCACCAAGAGAACCTCGATCTCGATTGCCCTCCAGAACGTGAAACAGAGCTCATGACAGAGATAGACGAGTTGCGAAGAAAACTAGATGCTGTACGTTTCCAACCTTGTCATCGAACCCCGCCCGTTCTAATAGCGTGCAGCAACGTCGCTTGAAACGTTTGTTGACTCGCGCAGTCCGCTTGTCTTCAGCAAAATGCCGTCGCTCTGAATCTCGCCTGGAAAAGCTCTCTTTTCTTCAAGCACCCCAAGCTTCTGAACTGATGAGCCTTCCAGAGCAGTATCGCTCGATGTTCTCTGCGGTATCGTCCCTTC